CAGAATATGGGAAGCCAAACATCACCCCTTGTGGTCAATGTGAAGGGGAGACTATAAACCAACTCCGCCTCCCATCCCAGTTTGTGGTGTATCAGGGGTCCAACAACTTTTTCCGGGGCGATGTTCACCCTCACCCCCACCCCACTTCTCACCCGTTTTGTGCATATTAGGATGGATGCCCTGAATATTGCAAGGAAGCCAACCACAAACCATCAGACTTCAACGGGGTGTCCCTTGTTCCCTTGCAATATTCACCGTACCTCCCGTTGGGGATCCGGGCAACGGCATCCCAGGACCCCACGTGGCTGTCCTGGTCAAAGACGGGGCCGCAGCTGGTGATCGGCACAGCCAGGGGCAACCTCATCATCTACAACAAGAGGACCTGGGAGGGCCTCGCATCCTTTTCTTGGTGGCTCCCAGCCATCCGGTTCCTGAGCTTGTTAGCCTTTTCAGCGTTTAATTAGGGGGGAGTTTCCGTTCTGGCAGGGGATCTGAGGACAGTCCAGTTTGGTACTTGGACCTCTTTCGACATGTGCCAAAATGCGGTTGGTGCACCGTTGCGCTTTCTTCCGTAGCTGTAGCTTTGACTTAGCCCGCCCACGGCCTTCGGCGCCTCTTCAATTGGCAGGCCAATTCTATTTCAAACACGTGGAGGTCAGTTTGACAGAAACGGCAAGCCTGTAAAGCTCGGCTTGGACTCCCATAATAAGGCTTCCCATGTTTCCTTATTCGGAGTGGGGGGAATGTGGCCAATGTTGAAGTTGTTTTTTGGTGGTGTGATGTTAAAGTAAGGGGAACCATGGTTTGCCGGAAGCGTCCTGAGATACGTCACGAATCTGACATAAGGATATCCCCAACGGCTGGTAAGCCTTTGCTCGAGATGCGCAGACTGCATCTCGTCTTACATGTTAGTCTTGGTTAACTTCGGTCCGGTCGGGAATTCGCCAAACTTGAGACGGGCAGGACCATGAAGAAGCAGACCATCATGGGCAAGCACTCCAAAAGGATAACAGCCGGAGCCAGGACCTCATGCGGAGAGGATGCAGACACGGGCCGAGCATTGAGGCGAGCTCACTTTATCTGCGGCTCCTATTGAACTTTGGTGACATATAGTGATGACGGGCGCAACCCGAGTCCAACCTAACCGCCCCCTTTTGTACAACCATGGAGAAGAAACAATGCTTGGCGGGTGTCAGTGCTCCGGGCCCTCGGGTCTGAACGGTTGACGTTTGTGCTCTGTGAAATGTCAGGTCTGTCAGAACCCCAGATGTTATCAGATGTTGCATTTTTCACTGCCACATTAGCTACAGCTCAGGTGAATAATACCTGGATCGGAATGTTTATGTTTTTTTCCCGGAACCCTTCGATCAAGACCACTCCTCAGAAGGCTGTAAGGTTTTTTCCTAGCGGGGCTTCGGTTATCTCGAACAAATGCTTCCTAGTGAGCCGGCGTTCTTTGGCTCGCACGTGTTGGGTTTCTATGTGTTGGTTGCTGTTGTACCGTATTAGTCTGGCTAAACATCAACATTACTGAGGATTTTGTGACTTCAACGAAGCTTTCTTCACGCGCTCCAGGCTCCAGGCAGTTTCAGACTCAGAGGCAGTTTCAAGGGTGGGTTGCTGGAAGTTGAGTATTATACTTCTTAACTCTACTATAAGACTAGTGATTATATCTATATATATATACCTGCAACCTCTCAATCGGCCAAAGTTCTGGCCTAGATCCAAAAAGGATCCTTTTTCCGATTTCGGCTTTTTTTGGAAGTTTCGGCTGATCTTGTTTCCTGTCGGCGTTTTTGTGGCAGGTGACGTTTTTGGTTTCTGTCGGGCGTGGGCGGGGCGGGGGCTGCCTGCCTGCCTTCAGTTCGGCCCTTGGTGGCTCCAACAGCGCTTGGCCGACCTCTTACATTTTTTTCTGCCCACGCAGGTTGGTGAGACCTAGCTTGCTGCTTTGCAAGGCTAACACCAACCAAAATTGGGGACCCATCTTTGATTGATTTCAAGGTTGATAAAACAATCCCTCTGCCCCGACCCTTCCAGAACACACAGGCGGGCGACCCGTGGTTCTACGCTGACCTTCAGACTGCTTGCTTTACGCGCAGGCATCAACATTGTTCAGAAGTCCACCTTAGTTTCGCGACTTCCTGCGTGTGGACTGACGATTTCCAGCCAAGAGCGGCATCCATACTAATTAGTCTTGTCCCCTTGCTGCTGACACCTGCGCGTCTTTGCAAGAAACACATGCATGCACGCATGTGGCTGAAGTGGCCGACTGGTTGGCTGCGCGCGGGCTAAGATAGTGTGACTGCACACGCTTCGTGGAAACAAGCAGCAGGCCGCCCTACAGTGCGTGAATTGCGCAATTTCTGCAATGTTATGTTTTTCTCGGTACATTAATGTTTTTTCAGCCGGCCGAAATCGGCGGAATTAGGCGGGAAATCGGCGGAATTAGGCGGGAAATCGGCGGAATTTGGCGGGAAATCGGCGGAATTTGGCGGACAACATTTTTCACAAGTGTCGTAAGCACATTCATGCTTTCGATTTGTTTGGTTGCAGCACGGTGGCTTTGAGCCTAGTGACTTAGCACAAGCAGCGGGGTTCCAACGCAGTCATGGAACGCTAAACCGCCGTGACTCTTCTGACAATCTATTTGAAATTGATGATCCTCCTCCACAATTTTGCTGCTCTTGCTGAAGGGGCGCTTGCCTTCCAAATCGTTGGGTTCCGCTTCAAACCCAAGTACCACTCGATGCACCACAAAGCATTTAGGCATTGGAACCGGGAGCACCCCTGGCTACGTCTCCCATCGCGACTGTATGCGAGGCTGCGAGGACCTGGTAGGAAAAACAGCGAGGTTAAGCCGGAGAGTATCAACAAGACAGTCTGGAAGGCGAGTTTTGGAACGTGTGTTCTTAAAGACCTGTGCAGTGCTTCGGAAGCACATCCGGGTCCGCCGCCAATAAGGGAAGCGTGTGCGATAATGTTTTGCAAGAGAGCTTCGAAGAGCTAAATTGCAGAAAAGGCGCTTTATTGTTTGTGGGTTCCTTCACATGCCCCAGCCCCAAAAACTTGGCCTTGACTGGCTGGTCTTGTGTCGAAGTGGCGGCCCAAATCGGCAAATATTTTTTCTCATCGGCGTTTTTTTTGGGTTTCGGCTGTTTTTTGGGAAATCGGCTGAAAAACAGGCCGCCAATCAAATCGGCTGAAAGTTCAGCCGCCGGAGGCTCTAGGTATATATATATTGACGAATGCCCTTCTGCATAAACACCCCCCGCGATATGCGGGACAGAGTGCGGGACAAAGTGCGGGACAAAGTGCCGGACAAATTGCGGGACAAACTGCTGGACAAACAACTGTCCGGCAAGTTGTCCGGGGGGTTGTCCGGGGGGTTGTCCGGAGGGTTGTCCGGAGGGTTGTTCGCGCACTTTGCCGAGATTTATGCTGCAAACCCCCCCTCCCGCGAGAATACTTCCCTCCGAGTGGTTTCCGAGTGGTTTTGAGCAGGTTCCGAGTGGTTTCCGAGTGGTTTCCGAGCGGTTTCCGAGTGGTTTCCGAGTGGTTTCCGAGTGGTTTTGGCGTGTTCCAAACCTGTCCGAAGACTTGTCCGGGGGTTTGTCCCGGGTTCTTGGGCCCTCAAACCTGTCCGGAGGGTTGTCCGGGGGTTTGTCCGGGGGTTTGTCCCGGGCTTTTGGGGCCGCAAAGCTGCCCGGAGGGTTGTCCGGGGGTTTGTCCGGGGGTTTGTCCCGGCTTTTGGGGCCGCAAAGCTGCCCGGAGGGTTGTCCGGGGGTTTGTCCGGGGGTTTGTCCCGCGCTTTTGGGCCCTCAAAGCTGTCCGGAAATTTGTCCGGGGGTTTGTCCGGGGAGTTGTCCCGCCGATTTTGGGCCCTCAAAGCTGTCCGGAGGGTTGTCCGGGGGTTTGTCCGGGGGGTTGTCCGGGGTTTTAAGCCCGTTTGGACCCAAAATGTGAAAACAGGTGTTTATGCAGAACCGCCTCTGTCAATATATATATATATATGCATATACTGCATATTATGAAACTTTCGCCTCAAATTCACCTAAATGCGTCCTTGATATTTTGGGTCAGTGAATCATTGTGTTGATGGCATTTGTGTTTTTTTCTTCTTGCCTTGTGTTTAGCCCGCAGAGTGCCCTATGCGCATGCGACAATACGGTGGGTTGTTAGTGTTCTCTTTTGCGGCACCCTTTTCTAAGTGGTTCAGCGGGAGACCAAAAGGAATCGGTTCCCACTGGGAGACTTTGCACTCTGCATGCTGGAGTCTCCCCGTATGACCCGTTAGGAACACGGCAAGCTTGCTGGTTCTCTGGGAATGAGAAATGACCCCGCCTACCATCCGTTTGTGAATCCCTAGAGAAACCCCAAGCCCCCAAATCCATGAAATCGATTCCCTGAGAACCAGCAAGCTGAGAACCCTCGACATGGTTTAAAAAGCCTTTTAAGGGGGGGCCACCTGTATTTTGCTCTTCAAGTCAAATCCCTGTTGTTTTCTCCCGGCGTTTTGGCTTCCCTTTCGTTTCCTCGAAGCAAAAGGGTATCCTCAGCCCATTCCCTGGTTTCTGATAGACCCCTTGGCTGGTAGGGAAACCAAGAGGAAACCTCGGTGAACCAGCTGGCTTCAAAGGCCTGGCACGGTGAGAACGTCTTCGCCACAGGCTCTGAGGCGAGAAATCGAGGGGAGGGCCTTACAACCGGGGCCTTACAACCGGGGCATTGCGCACCGGCAGCTCTGTTGTCCTCTTCTGGGAGAAGCTGTTGCTTGAACAACGCACGTCTACGGAGTCTACGCCGACGTTGGCGTAGCTTCTTCTTTTGGAAGTCTCCTTTCGTCTTCTGGAAAACGAGTTGCTGGCTGCTGGTGCTGTGTTTTTCAGAGTACTCCGTGTTGGGCTTGTTTTGCGGGGAAACCACACGAAAGCCAACCAATCACGGGACCACTAGTTGAGAGGCTCCTATTTTTTTCTTTTGAGTGGTTTTAAAGATCGGTCGTTGTGGCCCCTGTAGGGTGGGCGGCCCTTGCTAGGAGCAATGTTTTTAATGGAAATATAGGGACCCCCGTTGGAGTTGTTTCCAATCACGTCAGCTGGATGTCAAGATGGTCAAACGGCCCCTTTACTTGGGCTTGCTAGATATCATCATGAGACCTTTAATTGGGCTTTTAGAGAAGGCTCAATATTTGTGGCCTCCAAATGACCATGGGTAACTTTTCCTTGGGAAGTATCATCTTGTTGTAAAGGACCTATTTGATCAACCCCCTAATGTTAGGGTTCCTGTAAGGAGTTGTAACCATCACACGCAAGCAGAAAGGTCCCGGTTTGCCAGGACAAGACGGTGTGCCTTAGCAATGAAGATGGGCGCCGCGCTCAGTGCCTTTTTTGCGCCCCGTTGCGCTTTTTGTCCATGTCCAGAAGTTAGTGCCAGGGTTTGCCGCAATCTGGGGGAACCCTATAGGCCGATTCCCGGCCAAGGTGAAGCAATCTTTGGTCTTTGGTGTGTGTGTGGATCGCCGCAACCTTGCGCAGGGTTAGCAGCGAGAGCCGCCAGAGCGCAGAGCCGCAGCAGCAGCAGCAGCAGCAGAGCGCCAGCAGGCGTTGTTTCCTTAGCGTGCCTAAGTACTAAGTACTGATGGTACCTCAGTGTTCAGTCCGCCGGGGTGGAAAGGGGAAAGCAGCCAAGGGGCCAGCCCGCAAGCCAGCCCCGAAAAAGCCCAGTTTTCCAACCACACCCGAGGAGCCGAAAAAACAGCAGCCAAACGAAAAAGGTGCCGCACGGCAAGCGCCCCAAGGCTAGTCCTCGGTCCAAGAAATTCTATTGTTTCTGGATTTTACTTTGGCGTGCCCATCATCATGAGTCTCTCCACCTCCCCACCCTCGGGGTGATCTGACCACCCCAGGCGTGCTGCGAGCTGGGAGACTGGCCTTGGATTTTACGCCCGCAGTTCCGCAAGCGCTGCACGCCCAAAGCACATGGTCCACTGAAGGAACAACTGCCAATCCGCAGCACTCACAGGTCATTCTCTGTGGGCCTCGAGGTGTCCACTTTGCATCAGTGCTCATGCCCCCGCACATGCACGCACAGAAGCCAGCTTACGAAGCCTGTCCGCAAGCCCAACGTGGCGCAGACTCGCTCCTGCCGGGCGAGCATCGCGTCGCGTCTGGGAGATTTCAACCACTCCTCCAAGCGTGTACACCTCCATGCGCTTCTCATCCTTGCAGCTGGCCTGAAGATCTAGCACCTGCCTGTCTTGTCTCCAAGCCGCCCATTGCCCCGGCACTGGGGTCCAACCCCAGTGGTCGATGCATTTCTGAAGGGCACGGGCATACCTAGTCCAGTAAACCCGGTGCTGTGTCGGAGGCCTACCTCCGGCCCGCGCGTGGTCGGCCCAGCGGCCAATTGCCTTCAGCAGCTTCTGCGCTCCGAGGTAGAGCAGGTCGCTGCCGTGTCCCACTCGCGCTGCGGTCCCCTTTGCGGGACCTCCTTTCACCGCTTTTGTGAAGGCTTCACAGAAGGCTTGTCTTTCCTTGAGCGTGGGCACACGCCCGCCCATCAGCGCTCCCCATGAGCATATGGCCGTGAAAGTCAGAGTGGCGACAGACGCCTTAGCACGCAAGGACAAGGGAAGAAGCTCCAACCGTTGCGCGGCCCTGGTTCCCTTGGCGCGTCTAGCCTTTTCGGCATCAGACTCCTTGCGAGGTGTGATGCCAAGCGTGACTCCAAGGACCTCAGCGGTGGTTTGCTCCAGTCATTCCTGTTGAGCAAGTTTACGCCCTGTTTATTCCTGGCGAAAAGCTGAGTTTTACCCTCATGTATTTTCAACCTAGTGCATTCCCCAAGGTTATGCCAGGCACGCCTAGCAGTTTCCAAATCTTCGGGGGATCTCCCCAAAATGGTACGATCATCCAAAGAAGTGAGAGTGACCGACTCCGGCGCCTGGTGCCTGGCCCACCGAATGGCTGGTGCCAGGACAACCGCCAGGGCCATTGGTGCCCACACCTCTCCTTGCGGCAGTCCTCTACTACCCAAGAGTGCTCTGCGGCTGGCAGCTCCAGCAAAGGCCCACCTGCCATGGCCCACTGGTGTGCCACAAGCTGAAGGATGGTCTGCGGGCAGCCCATGTGCCGCATCACCATGACGGCCAACTCGGTATCCGAGTCAAAAGCCTTAGCATAGTCTAGGGCCAGTCCGACGGGGTACCTCCCCGGAGGGAACTCCTGCGACCAGCAGCGACTCCGCATCTAAGCCTCGAACCTGTCCTGCCTGATATGTGTCCAGTGCAGTGGAGAGCAGTGAAGCAATCTTTGGAATAATCTGATAGATGCAGATTTGTGCTCCTCAAATAGGAAGCGGAGCTCTCAAAACGGCTTTCCGGTTGCACTTTGGCTTCCCATGAAAGTTCATGCAGAAGGGGTTGCCCCAATTCTAAGATGCATGCATAGGAATACCTTCAACATGAAACCTAACATCAATGCCATCCATGAACACAGGGATCCTCGAAAAATGGGAGGGCGAGGGGCACGTTTGAGCATGAGATGTGCTCTCCAGGAAATCAACATGTAATTCAATGTCTTGTGTGTTTTATCTCTGACCTTCCGTGTTGTAGCGGGAAAACCACCAAGCCAAAAGGGAGCAAGGGTGCTCAAGGCATTGCACACATGACTTTCAAACATTGTTGCTCGTTCTTCCTACGGTTTGGAGAGCCAGGCTTTATGGAATTCAATTGAAGTTCTTTTTTGGTTAGCGCCAACGCTCGACACCACTTAATTCAACATGTCAATGTCTGGCTTTGCACAAGTCGATGCTCGCCACCATTCGGGGCAACGTACAGCGCTTCCAGATTTCGTGCATTTAATGGGCACCTAGTGGCCTGCATGTTAGCCCAAGGCAGGTAAGCTTCGATTAGAAGAATGCCCGGCAACAAACGTTTTTTTCATATCTGAAGAGACCACATCCAACTGCAGCACCCTGGCGATCTCCAGCGGCGACTTTGTTGGTGTTTTTGTTTTTTGGACAGAGTTCTCCTCAAATCAAGCTGACCAACAAAAGGTACCCCTGGCCTGGGGAAAATTGCAGGGTTTCCCCTGTACCCTATATTCAATATTTCAGGGTGCGAGTCGCCAAACAGATGCGATTAAATCTCTGTGCACACACCTGAGGTCAACATGTCCTGATTTGTCTATGGTGCATGTTGGAGAGATATGGGGGACTCTCTAGTCTGTTTACGTTTCATACATCATGACATGAGGTGCTTAGTTGGAATGCCCCATATGGGTCTCACAGCTTTCTTGTGATTTTTCACCATGCGTTTTGAGACCCTCAAAAAAGCGCAGCGTGCGGCTCAGGGACGCTCTCGAAGGCACCGATGAGCCGCTGAGATTGAAGAACGCACTGCCCGCCACGCTTGGAAGCGGGCTCCGCGGGGAACATTGCGCTTTTGGGTGCCCACGACGTGTTGGGGTTTTGGTATAAACACCCGAGGCAAGCAGCAAGAATCTAGAAGCCCAAGCTGGAACTGTTGACAAAAGACATGAGTTGCTGGATTTTCATGAGGTTGCCATATCGAAATTCTTACCACGCATCCTTCGCTTGCCAGGATCCCAGCATGATGCAGTTCTCGGATGTGAAGGGCGACTCCGGTGCGGCACCCAGCGATACCCCCATGCGGTTCGGTCATCATATTCCGATTCACGGTCAGGGTTGGAGGGACAAGGGGGACTCTCTAAACTTCCCAAAAAACAGGGGACTCACTACTTGCTCCATGTCGTTTAGGTGCAGGAAACACATATTTTTGTCACCGGTGGAAATTGCCCCACCCTCTTTGTATGGATGAAAAGCAACATCTTCCTTTTGAACCCAGACCTCCAGTGGGGCAGCCAGTGGGGCATGTCCTTTTTCGTTTGTGGGAGGAGGTTTTTGCTTCATGGCCACTGGAGGTCTGGCTCAGGTCGAGGAACATTTGGAGACTTTGAAGGAGAATTGGGTTTGTGGAATGAGGGCATGGTTCCTTCTCTACTAGGGAACCTCCCCTTCAAATGGAGATCTCGTTTGGAAGGCCTATATACATATACATATATATGGTAGGACCCCCCCCCAATACCAAGGTTTTCCTGCTTTACAATGTACATGTTGCATGTTTTTTTTGTATAGAACGTCGCTTGTTTGAGGAAAACCTGGAGTTGAGTTGGGGTCCTGCTAAAGATCAGAACACATGTCTTACTACAAGTGCTTGATCATCGTTCTGTGTCATTGGATAAGTATAGATCAAATATCTGACTGATTTATAATTAAGTGTTGGAGTTTATAAACTTTGTTATCCAACTGCCAGGAGTCCAAGAGTTTAGAGTTTATAAACCAGACTTGGAAGTTCATAAACTAAATTTGCGGGGAATGCTGAGCCTACACAAATTGAGACCATTTCAATGCACACTTTCAATCTGTTTAATGAATAGCTACTGGCTCGGGCAAATTCAAGCCTATCCCATTCCCGCGCTAATAACCACAATGGCCTGGCATCTCGAGGGCATCAAAGCGGATCCTGAGCAGATCAATCTAGAATCAGGAGATTTGAACCTCCGAAATATCAAATGTGAATTCCTTTGCAAATAAGATGTTACTTCAAATTGAATTGACATTTTGAATGGAATTTAGTAAGGCCATAGTTCATGTGAAAATCTATATTCCATTAGATTGTGTTCCTTTACTACGTGTGCTCGAAACCAGTGTAAACATCAAAGTTTCCAATCAAAACCATGCTTCAATCCTCAAAAGACGAAACACCTGAGAAGGTGACAAATCATCAACAACACCTTGTGTTGCAGCGCTTTCAGTCATGTGGAGAAAGAGGAAGTGCAGAGTAGATATGACGCTTTCCAACTAGCGGCCATCCACCCCCACCTACCTGTCTACACACCCACTACGCAAAACCTCTGATTTTAGAGGCAGAAGTGAGATCGCAGGGAAACAGCTTTGCGTCCCAACAGGAATGGTTGCGCTGTCCTGCAATGCTGGTGCAAGAGTTCGGAATACGAATCGCAGCAGCGCATAGGCTGGGTTGGAGAACTTGTGACTTGAGCCAAACGTGGCCACCACTTGTATATGTTACAAACATACCTGTCGCTGTGGTACTATTCACAAAAAAACAACAGCAATGAGTTCATAAACTGTCCAATTGGTTGCTGGAAGTCACCTCTGCGTCTGCCCTGCAAAGCATCCATCATTTGCCCCACAAGTCAAATAAAACAAAAAACCTTGGTATTGGGAGGGGGTCTTAGCATATATATATATATATGTATTGAATGGGAAGCACAGGGTCACAGCGGGACGTTTCGTACTCCACATGATTGAAGCTTACGACGCTCAGACTCGCGGGAGAAGGTGGTGAGCATTGTGCTGGGCGAGGCGTTGCCTCGATTTGTTTTTCGGGCGTTGCGGTTGCGGCCCAGCGCCGCAGATTTCGTCGCGGCGATGTGTTGGGAGGGGAAGTTCCAAGATTGACTTCGGCAAACAAAATGGCCGGCAGTTGGTTTTTTCCCCCCAAATTCACTGGGGGTCGGGTTTGGAGGTCATTTTTCGGTTTATCCCACATCTTTAACTGATGGCTTCCCCTTGAAGTAAAGCAGCCACAGGTAAAAGTTTCAAGGCATGCAACCCTGGTCTCGCGATCAGTGGGCTTCACCCTTCCTTGTTTTCCTGTTTGGTTGTTGGTTGAGCCAATTGCCACCTGTGCTTTCCCATATTTTCTGCGCTGTCCCTTTGAACTGGCCGACTTCCACCCGTGGTTTAATCGCGCAGCAAATATGTGCAGTCATTTGCCAGTCTTCAGTGGATCCATTTTCAACAGGTGCAAGGGTGAAGGTACCAAAACTATACAGGTCTCATGACATTTGATTAGAAGCAGAGTCTATGCACCCTTCTTCCAGCAGGGTGGATGACCAGAAGCCTTTCCAAGATGGCGGTATTCCAAAAATATTTGCAAGCTTGCGTTGGAAGGTTCCCTCCCGAAGCAGGATGCCTCACTTGGGCCCCCAGGCTCATGCTTTTCCAGGGTGGCAGTGCCAGGGTTTGCGCTAAACAAAAGAGAGCCTCAAAAGGGGTCTGAGCAGGTGAGATTCGCTCAAACAGCTTTCCAGGTTCCAGGTCAATTTGCAGAAGAGGCCTCAGGGATCCCCTCGTTTGGTCTCAGAAACAGTTGCTCAGCAGCACCCTGCGAATCCAGGTTCCCCACTGAAAATGGTCAAGCCCCCTAAAAAGAAGCTTATACTTTTCAGAGTCAACCCTGAAAATAAATATCCTTGCCCCTTCAGCGACTTTTTCCCCTGAGTGTCCAGGCGGTGTCCCTTTCTCTACTGACTCACTCGAGTTCATGGACTTCAATCACTTGGGTTTGGACCATTTGTGGCAATTAAACAACCGCTTTGGACTCTTTTCTACTTCTCAGTCTCCAGTGAGAGAGACACGGGTCTCCGTTTTTTTCTTCTTCTTCAAATATATATATATATAAATATATATATATATATATGTTTTTTCCACCTTCGGAAGCGAGACCTGGGGCCAGGTGACCTTGCTGCTCTGCAACCTGAAAGAGCCCCAAAAGCCCACGGAGCTGGCCTTTCAGCCCAAGTGCCCCGCGGGAACGTGGGTCCCTGGGTCGACTCGACTCACGAAGGGTTTGGCGCGTCCGATGAGTCCCACGGACGCCTGAATTATTACCCTACCCCCCCACCCCCCCATGGCCATAGGTGTCCTTTTTGGTGGTAGTTGGTAGAGAAAAATCGATGGCGATTCCTGGTTTGCCTGGTGGTTTAATCAACCGCAGGCATCTATTTCCCCTAAAAGGACACCTATGCCCAACCACCAAGGAGTACCACCTGAAGATCCCTGGAAAAATGATTCGCCTGCAAATACCGACAAACGTAACGTTGGTTTCTCATGGATTGAAAGTGGTGCCGGATTTCGTCCATCCACAGTATGGGGAGATTGTGAAGTTGAGGAAATTACTGTGGAAAGGTCGGGAGTCGCACGTGGCAATCCTCATACTCCCATTCTCGACCAGGGCTCCAATCGCCGTGGACCCATGCTGCATTGTCATCGCCGTGGATCACCGATAGCAAGGCTGACTATCCTAAGAGCAGTCAGGCAGATATGCTGACACATTTTGGCTTGAATCCAAGCGAGATGGATGCACCGTCCATCGTCATTTGTTAAAAGACCACAGACAGTGCTTTGGCGGCCACCGCAACCTCTGCTCCCGCGGCATGAGACAGCAATTTCTGGCTTTAGCAAGGTCGTAGTGAGGTAGCTGTAAAGCTAGGTGCAGAGTCGATTGTCGCCAATACCAAGAAACCGGGGGGTGCCTGTCCCAGATTTGTTGGGTTGGAGGGGGTTGGCCTTTAACACCAACTACCGAACGAAGGGTGCTTTTTTTTCCCATGGCCACTGGTGAATTTCCGAAACAATGCAAGAACTGAAAAGGTACGGCCCAGGGTTGGTAAAAAAATGGCTTGTTGCATATTGGACTGCTTTGGAAGGCTACGTACCTTTTTGGAACGGGCTTGTGTGTGCACGTGCATTTCCATGTCAGTCGGTGGAACTGCGCAAACAACGTGAGAGTTTATGTGTGACTTGCTGACAATCTCCTTACTTGTTCACTGAAACTCCTATTGGTCGTTTGCTTTGGGTTGTGATGCCAGGAAATGTGACAAATTTGATCGAATAAGTCAGTCCCGACCTATCTATCATCCTGCAGGGGGAATGATACCCAGGGATTAAACACATGTTACCATGCTTTACTTCTAGAACTATGAGTATTGCTTACAATAAGTAAGGCCTGTTGGTAAAAGTCATGCGCGGTCTTCATTTGCTATGGAGATCAACGCAGGGCTTGGCCGAAGCGTTTGGCGAACCGCTTCATGAATACTCTTCATGAATGTGTCTGGCAAAATGTGAGGAGAGCTCACCAAGAGCTTGCCATGATGAAGGAGCCTTTTCTTGGATCTGTTCTTCAGGTCACGTCAGGTGTTGGAACGCAGAACGTATTGTGCTTCAACATGGTGGATGCGGTGAACAGAAACAGTGTTGCTCCCAGACTTGGATAGGTTTGAGGAAAGAGCAACCACCAATGTGACTTTCCGTGTAGTTGTCCTGAAGTTGCAGCAAATGCTGAAGTGAGCAAAAGTGGGTGGCATGGGTGTTTTTTGCTTTCCCACTTGTTTCATTGGGAAGGCCTTCTGATCCCACGACTTTGGGGCTTGTCCGTTGACCATGTCCCTTTTCAGGAGAACACATCGCCTTTTGGGAACGCATCGTTAAAAAGCTTTGGGACCTGACTGAGGGCCCTGGATTCCTCGATAGAAGTCGCAGGGTCCAACTTCATGTTAAGGTGATGTGAAGCCGGTTAAACGGTCATCCCTAGATCCACCAAGATGTAACGTTGAGTTTTGTTGGTTTCGCTCTTCCTCCTTCAAAGTCCACCAGAACAACTGCTCTAATTACCCTATCCCTGTGGCTAGTGAGGATCCCTGCCCATAGTTGCTCCTCAGGAGGTACCAAGGGATCCATCGTTTGTTTCCCTGAAAACTGGCTGCCAGGGGCAAAATTGCACCAGGTACGGCACCATCAAGGCCTACGCTTGGTGCGGGGATGGCTACCTGGTAGCCCAAGCCTGAGCTTGATATAGCAGTCCCGGACCACTCCTGGAATATCCGAGGCAAAGGGCAAGAGCGATCTATAGAGTTACATACTAATACATCTCGCCCCGAGTGGCTTTTGAATGGGTCAAAGTACGGCAAATGTCTGTGAAATCCGTGATTGAGTGTTTCTTGGTGTGTGTGTGTGTGTGGGGTGGCACCACATTATGTATATATATATATATGCAATGATACATAGGAATGTGTAAACACGTATCTTCGTTTGGGAGAGCATGTGTTTCCGAGCCCTGCCGAGACAAGTCCTGTCTCGTTGGATTTCTTTGTGCTTCTGATTATTCCAGTTTGCACTTGCATAACTGCGTGCCCAGTGATGCGCCCTTGGGACAAGTGCACATGGCCCGGGCAAGTGTCTATGCCAAACTTCCCAAACAGTTTTTCAAAGGGGCTGCTCCGTGAAGATCTCGGCTGCAGCTTTCGGGTGAGCTCAGGTTGGCTTCTCGCAAGGCTACATTGCCACAGCCTTAAAGACTCAACACGACCGCTTCGGGCCGCCAGAGACTGCAAAAGGACACCCGATTTGGTCCAGTTCCAAAAGGGATCCTGTGCCTCCAAAGGCCCCCGAAGAGTTAGGGGGGGGGTAATAGGCTTTGTTTTGGGAGTTACGCAGCCAATGAAGGCCAAATAAGGCCCTAACAGTTTCTGATTTTCACTTTCAGGGTATTTCGGTTTGGAATCATTCGTGCCCAACAAGATGGTCAGCTGTTGGTTTCGAGGGCCTTGTCAAGTGGCCAGACATGAATACATACAGACATTCACCTTTTTTCCCAAACAAGTTGGCAAGAGGATTAACCCTGATAGGCAGAAGGGGCAACGTTGAGAAACCGGGGGTTCAAGCGTTGAGAAATGCTCCTCTTTGGGGTCCCTCTGAAAAAAAATCAGCTCTCAAAAAGAAACGAAGTCCACTTGCAAGAGGTCGCGGAAGACCTCGAACCGTTTTTTTGTTTCCGTCACAGGCGCTGCTCCGAGTTTTGGGCTGCAGGTTGTCATCAGCCCACAGCGAGAGATCTCCGAGGAGCGGTGTGAATCACTGTGCAGTGGGATGTTGCCTTTGTCTATAGTTTTGGACCCTTAGGCCTCAACTTCAAGAGGGGTTCTAGAGTTGTTGCACCCTTAGGGTTTTGGGGGTGCTAATCATACAACCCCCTCTGAATTGGATCTCTTGTCCACTGCAAGAGGAATCTCTGCTGCTGGGGCTAACTCGTGAACATGTTCATAGTACCGCATTTCTTCGTTGGAATCGCCGCAATCATGTGCCCCAAGGTTCAATCCACCACAAAAACAATGGGGGTCCATATAACCACCATTGTTTACCTCAGGATTGTCGTCACTCAAATTGGGTCAACCATTATTTTAGTGGGGGCTGAACCCCAGGGTGTGGCTGTGCATGAATGACATCGGTGATGTTTCACGGGAACAGCCTGAACATGACTGGTGGACATCAACCCAATGCGAGTGCCTATCATTCGGCATCGCGATGCAGGAGGTGTCCTCGGTGAAGTATCACCGCAACACCTTGGACTCCCTTTGCGTCAGCAAGGCGCGGAGGATTCCAAGAGAAACAACGAAAGGCGTGGTCAGAGAACGCCAGTGGCTAGGGATGGTCTGCAACTCCATGTGGAGTTCCTAGGCCTCAGGGGTGAGGGGGGCCAAATAAGGCCAACTCAGGCCTTGATGGTTGGGTTGCCCCTCAAGTTGAGAACGATGTCCTCCTTGAGGTATGAGATTTAAAGCTTGTCGCCGTCTTGGCAAAACGACCACCCGAAAAAGTATCGGACTTGCATTGAGGGTTTGTAGTTTGGTGTCCCCTTTTCGGGCAAAGAAAGGGACCCCCATTGGTTTTCTTCATGTGAGTACAGACTACAGACCAACCACGCTCCCTGTCATAGGTTCCTATCCCCGTCCCCCAAACTCGCCTGAGAGGGTTGTGTAGGTTTAGGGGGATTTAGACATCGCCGTCTATCCCCACACGTTCTTACTGCCCCAGTTGCTGGACTTTATTTTGCGAAGGTCATTTTAGTGCTACCCCAAAAGTCTGCATGAATTAGTTTATCCATTCCATTCAAGCGTGAGTTTTAAAAAAAAAAACCGCTTTCTGCGGGATGAACTTTCAAGAGGAATCAAAGGAAACCCTAAAGCCTTAACTTGGGGAAACCGCTGTCAGCGAGGAAAGGTTTGGATCCTATCACTGGCACAAAATAACGATATCTCAAGAGCTTTTCACCATGTCCCACCATGAAATGGGGGGAGGCAACACATGTTCCCATGCCTCACGCAAGTGGTTTCCGCACCCGAGGCTAAACTGGGGTAATGACCTGTGTCAAAATGGATGTGTCTTAGAACCCTCCCCCCGAAAACGGTTGTTTTCCTTTGGTTCCCTTTATAAGCTCACACCAAACGGGGCGCAAACAGGTGTTTCTCTGTACCAACTCCAGGGGCACCTGCGTTAAATGATTACACACATGATCATGATCATGATGTGAGCTTGTTCTAAAATGCCACTCAACGCCATGATAGATATTTAGGCTTATGGTACAGAAGCATGGACTCTCGGCAGAAATTGTACCGACGCTGCAACAACAGCAGCCTTGCCAACTTTATGATTCTGCGAGTCATACCATGTGCGTGCATGTGTGCGTGCGTGTGTGCGTGGGTGTGGGTGTGGGTGTGGGTGTGGGTGTGGGTGTGAGTGTGTGTTTTTGAGTGTGCCTGCCTGCCGGCCTGCCTGCCTGCCTATCTGCCTATCTGCCTCCCTGCATGCATGCTTGCCCGCGTGCCTGCAAGCCTCTATGCCTGCGTGCATGCTTGCGTGCCTGCGTGACTGCTCGTCTGCGTGCCTCTGTGCCTGTGTGCGTGCAGTGAATTGGACGGGTGGAGTTTCAAGATGTAGCTCAGGCTGCTGGTTCAATCAATTTACCTGATTGCCAAAGTGTTCTCGTTCCGCTTTGCTGCTATGGCTTTGCACTCATGTCTTGGCCGTCGAAGTGGAACAGCACTCTAGATTCCAAAGATAGCACATTGCAATGGGTTCTGGTTATTCCTTATCTAGCAATCCTGCTTATTTGTTTGTGCACCACTCAAGGAATCGCCACCTGAATTATATTTTGTTCATCTCATTCATGCCAGTACATCCGTGTGTGGTGTGCCACAGTGTCACAATCCAACCATTGACACTCTCACAGGCATCCACCTGAAACTCACTTAGAACTCTTCTCAGCAGAGTTCTGCCTGTGGTCCTGTGTTTGCGAGGCTGCCTGTTTTTTTTTGCCGGATGGTGGCGAAGCGCAACCGAAGGGCTCCAGCTGTGTTGGGCTTGGCAACAACCCCCCCCCCGCTCTTTCGTTTCCTCTCGCAGCTTCAGGCTGCTGGGAAGATCGCCAGCGCGGGGGATGATGGCATCAAGATCATTAGCATGAAGGATTCGCTGGCCGCTTCTTGGGTTGGTCAGGTTAGGGCTTGATTCCCACGTTCGTAAGGAAGTCTTATTTAGCGAGAGAGTCGTAAATGCGCCTGCCAAGGGCTTTGCTGCTTTGTTGTAGCCTCCTCTGCTTGGAAAAACCCAACCTGTTCGTGCTACGTGAAGAACTACTCGAAGCCTGGGGCATTTTCATCTGGGCCACCCAAATATATGTGCAACGCTGCCCGTTTGGGTTGAGGGAACTTGAGTTAAAGTCCAGCGATAGTGGTTGCCGCTGCCTCCATTTCTTCGGCTTTGAGAAGAACTTGGGCAGGTCTGTGACGGTCTGCCGCCAGATTCCACAGATTCTTGTTGCAGTTGCCTGGCGCGTTCCTTCTCTTTGCTTTTGATTCTGATGCGGTGGGATTCCCTTTGAACTCAATTCAAGGGACCCCAATTGAAACGCGGGTATTTCAATCTGAACACGTCCCCTTTTTGGCTGAGTTGTGACAGGAGACCACCACTTCCCTGCTCAGTTTCTACAGTTGAAACTGTCTGTTGCTAGCTTTCGTCATTTTTGTTTGCCCGAAAAGGCTGCTCGCATAGGTGTCCACTTTAGGCTAGTTTGCTTAAAGATAGATGGCACTGGTGTAGATAGGTTTTATTCCATTTACCAGGGCTATCTAGTTTACCAACAGTCTAGGGGGTGATTCCCCATTCTTCTCAACCATTGTTCTTTTCAACAACCGGCTGTTTAACGTGGGTTTTTGATGGTTTCCTAAAAGGCCACCTATGGCTCTTCGCCTGTTGTCAGTCTCCGACCACCGGCCGGGCTCTCAGATCGCCGCCCGGCCCAGCGAAACGAGCGTGCGGCGCGCGGCTCGTTTCGCCGGGACGCGAGCCATGGCGCGGCGCGAGTCGAAGGAGAAGGTCCATGGCGACTCGCAAGTAAAGGACACCCCATGGCTGCTATTGGTGGAGCCAACTCAAAAGATACATTTGCAACCATTCGAAACATGTTGCTTTGTTCAACACCAAAACAAAGTGGAAGCCACCATCTACAAGGCAATGTGTATAATGTAAGGATCCCTGTATTGGGTTGGATCTTTGGACTTTAACTGTTTGATTGAAATACAGGTGTTTTCCACTAAACCCCAAAAAAGTTAAACTTTTTGCAGGGGGGTCAACAGCAACCAAGACGCCCCGTGGCATAAGTTGTTTTGTTTCTTTGGGGATGATGGGTTGCTTCCCTTGCGATTTCCAAAAACGGAAAAACTCGCGTGTGTTTCCTGTTCCCCGGTGTTTGTTTGTGTGTATGGGTGTGTGTGTGTGTGTGTCTGTCTGTGTCTCTGTGTGTCTCTGTGTGTCTCTGTGTGTCTCTGTGTGTCTCTGTGTGTCTCTGTGTGTCTCTGTGTGTCTCTGTGTGTCTCTGTGTGTCTCTGTGTGTCTCTGTGTGTCTCTGTGTGTCTCTGTGTGTCTCTGTGTGTCTCTGTGTGTCTCTGTGTGTCTCTGTGTGTCTCTGTGTGTCTCTGTGTGTCTCTGTGTGTCTCTGTGTGTCTCTGTGTGTCTCTGTGTGTGTCTGTGTGTGTCTGTGTGTGTCTGTGTGTGTCTGTGTGTGTGTCTGTGTGTGTGTGTCTGTGTGTGTCTGTGTGTGTCTGTGTGTGTCTGTGTGTGTGTGTGTGTGTCTGTGTGTGTCTGTGTGTGTCTGTGTGTGTCTGTGTGTCTCTGTGTGTCTCTGTGTGTCTCTGTGTGTCTCTGTGTGTCTCTGTGTGTCTCTGTGTGTCTCTGTGTGTCTCTGTGTGTCTCTGTGTGTCTCTGTGTGTCTCTGTGTGTCTCTGTGTGTCTCTGTGTGTCTCTGTGTGTCTGTGTGTCTCTGTGTGTCTCTGTGTGTCTCTGTGTGTCTCTGTGTGTCTCTGTGTGTCTCTGTGTGTCTCTGTGTGTCTCTGTGTCTCTGTGTGTCTCTGTGTCTCTGTGTGTCTCTGTGTGTGTCTGTGTGTGTGTCTCTGTGTGTCTCTGTGTGTCTCTGTGTGTCTCTGTGTGTCTCTGTGTGTCTCTGTGTGTCTCTGTGTGTCTCTGTGTGTCTCTGTGTGTCTCTGTGTGTCTCTGTGTCTCTGTGTGTGTGTGTGTCTGTGTGTCTGTGTCTCTGTGTCTCTGTGTCTCTGTGTCTCTGTGTCTCTGTGTGTGTGTGTGTGTCTGTGTGTGTGTGTGTTTGTGTGTGTGTGAGGTGCGTCCCTGTGTGTCTGCGCATTGTCGGGAGACGCGTCTTCCTTGCGCAGAACTGAGCGCGTGTTGAGCCAATGACCTTCAGTTTTTTGGTTGCAACTGAGAAGCTTCTTGCTACTTGCTAACTCCCTATTGGGTGGACTGCACGCACCAGGCGGCTGTCCTTGTCCTCGTCAGCAACCTGCTCCAAAACCTCAAGACATGCAAGGAAGTTGACGGCTCTGCTCAAAGAGTGCCCCTTTTTGCTATGGCCGCCGAGGGTCAGTTTCCCCCCCCCCTTCTCTAAATACAAAGAGCTCACCGCTTCGGATCGCCCTACAAGTTGGCACTCAGTATATGGCCTTTCTTGTGTCCTTTTTTCCTTGTAGGTGGTAAGCCTCCAGTATAAACCCAACATGTTGAGGTTATGCAACACTCACGTATTTTAGTGGTTTAGAACAAGATAAGGTTGAGCTTGCTCATTGCAATGATGTGGCTTGCTGTTAATCAAAGGCCTTTTGTATTTGTGATGTTATCAGCTTGTCGCATTCGCAAAGGTATAGTGGCCCAAACTAGAGTTGTGGCTTTTGTCTACAAGTTTTAAACGACGGTTCATTATGAAATGAAACTTAGGAAAGCATCATTGTTTTGTGTTGTGCACAATTAATGTTGTTTTGTCTTTCTGACATTGTTTCATGTAAAGTTGTGATACAACATCTTCGACAATCTAAGCCATTGTGTTCGGAATGGCATAATCTAGCTCCAAACGCTATTTCGCCCACGCGAAACGAAACCTATTTTTGTGCGAAACTTGTTACCCGTGTAGCGCTTAAGCAACATGATTGGTTAGTTGAAGATGTAGCAGTTATTCAATGGACATCATACTGCTTAAGTTTCATTCCAATTTGTAGGTGCCACGTAAATGCATGGCCTTCAAAGACCAAGGCCCACGGGTCTCTGCTCAGTTTTTGGTCAGGAAGCGCTTTCCCAATCAAAGCCGGGGAAGCGAATGAGGCCCTCAGCCGGCCGGGAGCTTCGCGGAATGGCGCTGCATGGCGCGTTGTGGGAGGAGTTGGGCCAGGGAAGACAGGTGCAGGAGGCAGGGCGCAGAGCGAGTAGAGCGACATGTGAATATTGAATAAACCACATCCAGACACGTCCGGAGGGTCCTTGTGCTGAGATTATTATGAACAGCAAAAAAAAGGCGGGCAATAATTTTATGTCTTGCCCGAACGGCTGAAAGGTATGGGGTCTCTGCCCCAAAAAAGACCAGAGTGGTCTGGAGCAGCTCCGACGGGTTCAGATGCTCTTGTCTTCCCGATATTCCCTGATGTAACCTGCAAATGCCAACTCGAAAAGGCTTCATTCGAAAGTGCCACTAAACCAAAGGCACACGCTCTTCAAAGGCACACGCTCTTCAAAAGCACACGCTCTTCAAAAGCACACGCTCTTCAACCCACCCTGTGTGGGTTCCAATAGGGTGAAACACCAAGTTACCCTCCATGAAGGAGGGCTGCAACTCCATTTAAGGTGTTGTTTTGAAGGCAAATTGCCTTTTCAGGTTGGTTTCACCCTTGAAACCCACCGGCACAAGGGAAAAACATGTGGCTGTGGCTCAAACGACCGGTACCAAAATGGAACCCTGGTAAGTGGAAACATGGACCAAAACCTGCTTAACCCCTCCTGTTTAATTTTGAGCCACACCCATGTCCACGTTTCGGCGCCCACCTCGCCGCACCAGGCGCTGCGTGGTGCGCGGCTGCGGGTGGACGTGGTGGTCTTTACCGCCGCCATCGCTGAGCGCCGCCGAAGCGCCGAGTGGAGCCAGGCGAGTGGGCCGGCGGAGTCGTTTCGGCACGGGGGGGGGGGGCTTGGGGGGGGGTGGGGTTCCAGACCTTGAGCGGTGGTGCTGTTGTTTTGTTATGTTTTGTGTTTTTTTTGGTGGGGGAGGTTGAGGTAATAAATACTCCCCAATTGGTGGTGAATGGTGGTTGGGGGATTTGATGCCCGTGTTTTTATTTGCTTGGGGACGAGAGTTAAAGCTAGCAACCCGAATTGGTGGTTGGCGGGGGATTGAAGACTTGCTGTGGGAACTAGCCACTAAACCACCAATCCAAACCACCAAGCGGGATGCCAAGTCAGCATGGTATATAAAAGTTGAACATTCAAGAATCTCCGAACGGTTGAGGTTGATTGGGGTTGCTTTTTGGGTTCCTGGGGGCTTGGGGTGGGGGATATTTTAGAATGGGTTGTCTAAATATAGAACATCGTTTGGACATACTATTATGACCTCAGAGTTGGGCCAAGGAGAGTTTGAGGGTTCTGGCGGTTGGTATATCTTTGACTTTGAAGTTGGCGGTCTGTTCGGACTTGAAATGCAATCACAGGGGCACCAACCAACAGCCAGGCGCCCATCGGGTTTTACTCCATTTGCCTGGGCTCGGACCGGCGGCATGGACACATGAATATACATGGGTATGACCCGAGAACGAGAGGAGTAACTGAGTTAATGTAGAAATAGTATCTACAACATACATTTGTGCACGTGTGTGTGCTCCAACATATGAATACATTCACACACACATAGGAACCATCTCAAAAGTGATTGGTGGACATGTCCCACTTAAAATGTCTAGCCATATGCATGAATGCAAAAGGGATTTCATGCATGAGGCCATCCCCCGCGGTTACCCTAGCTTTTTCCTCAGTTGTGCCTTTGTATTACCCTTCCTGCTCCCAGCCAAAAGCTCTCTTGGGCGTGCAGTCACTCAGTAACTCACATCATGGACGCTTTTGGGAGGGTCAATGATGGGGTCCAT